CCCCTATCTGACTCATGAGTAGAACCAGATTGGATTTATACTATATACTATAGCTTTCACGAAATAAACTTGCATACATAAGATAAATAATAATAACAAATTTTATTTGAGTCACTCACAGGCAAATGGAGGCAACTCTTTATCGAAACTTTGACAAAATGAAACATATAAAGTAACTTAGTAAAATCCTTTGAATTCATGGAATGACCAAGTTTCGAAATGAAGAAAACAAAGATAGATTAAGGAAGACAAGACGCGACTACACCCTGAGACTCCTTCAATCAACTTTGAAAGGTTGAACTTACATACATGACAACGCTAATGTCGAACAGAAAAATCAATCATTATATGACATTCATACAACTGAAAAACTCAACATGAACTCCATGCCAGCATCTCAGATTATCCATCTATATGAGATGGTGAGATGAAAGCTCGGACGTCGAGAGGGAGACGACGACAGAGATTCATGTATTTGCAAACCTATACTAAATAGAAGGTAGCAATAGTCCATGAGCAACCCACCCATCATTCACACGTACAAATTTTAAACAAACTTGAATTACTAACAGGGAAAGCACGTTGTTGACAGAAACTACGTAGCGAACCGACGAGGCAGCACAAATTCGCAGACTAAAAAAGACACAAACGAGAGCGAACACAGCATGGTAATTACGAGCATATGAAATCAACATGACGTTTCTATGGAAAATGAAGATTGGATAGTCGAAGGAAGACACATTGTAATGCTACACAAGCTGAGTACTTAACATTCAAATGCCAACAGGCCAAATCTCAAACTTCGACCTCTCGATTCATCCTTTCAACTTAGGGTGAAAGAATGAGGGATGAGAGGTAGAATGCTCAGCATTTAGTTCAACTACAACTCTGTAATATGCTCAAATAAGAAAACATAGAACTGTCTTCACGAAACCTGCGAACCCCTAAACTACAGTCAAGACAACACATTCACTTAAATAAACCAGACGAGAAACATATGAGTTATACAGACAAATAAAACGGATAAGCAGACTCCCACAGACATGCACAATGAGGTCACTCCAACAGTAACGAACAAACCAATTGGCACACGAAAAGATTCCCAACCTTCAATCCGTCATATCAAAGCCAAGAAGAGAAGAAAGCTGTGTAAAGGAGATATTTACCTGTTGAGGGGCAGCGACTGGAACGTTGTCGAGCGAGGAAACGGCGAACTTCAACCAAACCACGAACCCCGAACAGTTCAGAAAAGGAACACGGTTAGACGAAGAAACAGGATCACGATTTTGATCTCTTTAACGTCTCGTTCTTTGGCTGTTCAACGAAGATGTATGTTTGGCAAGATTGACACTCCTCTTAGCCTTTCACTTTCCTTTTCGTAGCTAGAATACTCAGAAGATGGAGGAATCTTTCAAGAGATTTCCCAAAAAAATCCAACCTAAAAAAAAATCACCTCCAATACTCAAAACTCTAACGATTTCAACTCCGAAAATTCCAACGCTCAAAGTTCTAACCCCTTTTCTTGAGGACGAAAGGGGTTTATATAGGGTTTTCGGAAGAGGGAAGGGCGGGAACGTGACTAGGCCCATTTGAATTCAAAATTTGAATCTCTCCCATTAATGGTGCAACATCTTTTCCTGAAGATTTTATCCTTTTCGGAAATGGAAAAAGGGAGGGGAGTGGCTAGGATCGCTCCAATCGTCCTTGAGGGGAGACGTGGATCGATCTCGCGCCCTCAAGGATGAAAACGCGTTTGGCACAGACGAAAACACAGGTCTGCCATAGCCGAAAGCAGGTCTGCTGCGATGGGTGAAGAAGGAGATGTTGGTGGAGAGAAAAGTCGCGTGGGGAGACGAGAAACGCGGCTGGAAGCTGCTTTTCGTACGCAGCCTCTGCGTTCTCTGGTGATTTCTGGAAATGGCGTAGGTGTTCCATTTTTCTGGGTAGCGAGAGGGGAAGCTCGCGTGGGGAGACGCGAGGAGAGGAGGAGAGGAAGGGAGAGAGCGTGAGGGAGACGCGAGGGTGTGAAGGGGTTTCCATTTTTGGGGGCCTGTTTTTTCTGCGTTTTCTCTGTTCTGTTCTGTGTTTGCAGCGTTTGGGGAAGAAGGAGAAGGGATGGGTTTGGGCTGGAGCGGGTAAAGGAGAGTGGGCTGGGTTAATGATTAAATTAATGGGTTGAGGGGTAATTGGGCTGAAAATAAAGTGAAATGGGCTGGAGTTAATTGGGTTGAGGCTGATGGAGAATTAGGTTGGTAAGTTGGGAGAGGAAAGGAAGTGGGCTGCTGAAGTGTGTTGGGCCGTGTAGAGGGGAGAAACGGGTGGGCCTGGGAAATGGAATAGATTTAAGATATACATATATGTATATACATATATGTATATATATATACATATATTTTATTTTCGCAAGATTTATAAAACTAACTTTAAATAATTTGAAAAAACTCACGAAGTTCGACAATTAACTTATACCGACGCGGGTCAAAAATTGGGTGTCAACAACTGTCCCTCATTTTACTTGGGTTGATGCAAGCAACTCGAGGAAAATGAAATTGACCAACCAATTTTGATCAACCCCAATCATTTTAAAGAAAAGATTCGACACAGGGTTTAGGAATTATGGCCGAACCCTTGCAAACGGGTCTCCTACATATCTCAGGCTATATGAGAATTCAGGCCACTTGTAGTTCAAATAGATTGATTTATCGCACGATTTTGAAAGAATCAAAAAGCCACCTCGATACCGAATTATGAAGGTATTGAAATGCTCAAGAATAGAATTCGAGGGCGAATGTTGGAGTATAGCCGAGTTTTTAACATTGAATCCGCTTACATATCCTTAAACCTTCGAAATCAGGCTGTGTGTAGTTCGACTCAATCGATTGAAAAGGAAATCTATTATGCTAGATAACCTTTGGTTTTGGAAGAGTAACGCATTGACGAATATGAAAAGGAGGCTTGTAACCTCTTAGCCATGAATGTGGAGCTCTTCACATTCATAGGTAAGAACTCACACGGACATAATTTCCAAAGCTCTTGGCGCATTGTCACTCAGATTGGAAACTTGCTTTCGATAAATCAAAACTTTTGGATGCGAGACAGAAATTGACAGAACTGAAGAAAGACCGACATGCCTCGAGAGGGTGGTTCGATCGTGGTGGAAGTCTCTCCTCTGCTCGCGTCCTAAAAGTTTGACATTCCTCTTTGGACCGTGTCCCAGTTCGCTGCTAAGAAAAAGTTCTACGTTGTGCTGCATCCTTTTTGATGTCGTCCGCACCTGTGGGTTTTGGAGAATTCATCCTTTTCGGATGCTCTCGACAAAGACTGAGATAAAACTCGTCAGCTTAAAATGAAATTAAGATGGGAGACAGTGTCTTTTACCGTGTCGACACTTCATTGTTCTCCTCCATATTTGACGTCGACTCGATCGGTCTGACGTCTAGCAAATAAAGCTTATGCCTTGTGTTTTGTAATATCGTCTTCAATGTATTCTTCATTTGATGCTACAATAAATAAATAAACATTGATGTGATATTGATGTCTCTTTTGTCGTTATCTTTGATACTCTCCTTGATGTTTACTTTTATCAAAATAAAAGCATGCAGTTGAGGCCGATGGATAAGTATTGCTGTCGGGATGCGCGATTTCCCTTTCTTTATCCAGGTATGTCCTCTTGCGGGGCATGAATATCTTCCCGCGATACAGAAATTCTCGCGATGCATAACTTTCAGCGAGGCATGAAACCTTCTCGCGATGTGCAAATTTCGACGAGACATGGATTCCTCTCATGATGCATAAATTTCAGCGAGGCGTAAATTCTTCTCGCGATGCATAATTGCTGACTCGCAATGCATGACCTTCCGCAATGCATGATTTCTCGGCGATGCATGATCTCTGCGAGGTATAAAGTCTTCTCGCGATGTATAAATTTGATGAGGCATGAAATCTTCTCGTTATGCATAATTATTGACTCGCAATGCATGATTTCCGCGAGGTATAAAGTCTTCTCGCGACGTATAAATTTGACGAGGTATAAAATCTTCTCGTCATGCATAATTATTGACTCGCGATGCATGATTTCCGCAAGGTATAAAGTCTTCTCGCGATGTATAAATTTGACGAGGCATGAAATCTTCTCGTCATGCATAATTATTGACTCGCGATGCATGATTTCCGCAATGCATGATTTTCCGCGATGCATGATTTCTTCAAGGTATAAAGTCTTCTCGCGATGTGCAAATTTTGACGAGGCATGAACTCTTCTCGTCGTGCATAAATTTTGACGAGGCATGAAATCTTCTCGTCGTGCATAATTAATGACTCGCGATGCATGATTTCCGCGATGCATGATTTTCCGCGATGCATGAATTCCAGCGAGGCATAAATTCTTCTCGCGATGTATAAATTCCAGCGAGGTATGAAGTCTTCTCGCGATGCATAAATTTTGACGAGGCATGAAATTTTCTCGTCGTGCATAATTAATGACTCGCGATGCATGATTTCCGTGATGCATGATTTTCAGCGAGGCATAAATTCTTCTCGCGATGTATAAATTTTGACGAGGCATGAAATCTTATCGTCATGCATAATTATTGACTCGCGATGCATGATTCCGCGATGCATGATTCCGCGATGCATGATTCCGCTATGCATGATTCCGCGATGCATGATTCCGCGATGCATGAATATTTATATCGCCCCCGTGAATAGTAACGGTAAGACGATCTCCAAATAATATATCGACTTGATCGATAATGATAAAATAATAATTGCATAACCGTCTCTTCTAAGGTAATGGATGGTCTTGATCTACAATATTCATCTTGCTTTGATAACGCAATGCAAATAGCGCCTTCTATAGAAATCGCGAAATCTTCGCTGAGATTCCCGTTTGATTCACCTTTGAATCTGACTGGATATTTTGTAAATTTCTCATTGTTGAGAATGGTTTAAAATAAACAAACACGTTCATAAGCATCCTGACGCAAACGATATTCCTGCTTTCAATAAAAATCACTGGCTTTGGAGATAGTTTTCTCCTTCTCCGTATTCATCAGTCGGAAGAATTCGGCCGATTTCGAAGCGAAGCTATAAACCTGCATCCATAGAAAAATTGTCAGTTTTAAACATACTAATCTGTGTCGATCCCTTCGGTTGTTTGCTCCTTGTCTTGATGTCTCCGGTTGATTTCCAGATTTCCCGACTCTTGATAGATAAGAAAATATCTTATGCCAAAACAGATGAAATATAAAAGGGAAATTTTTAAGAGAAACAAGAAATTTTTAAGAAATAGTATCTCGAAAAAGTCACTGCCAAGTCATGTCATGTCAGGCTTAACGAGCTTCTTTGAGTCCGACGCTTGTTGAATGAATTTCAGAGGCATTCCGGACTTGTAGGGAAGACCCATGATGAAATTTTGAGGCCATCCTCAAAATTTCTGTCCTAGTTTAGTATCTTGCTAATCTTTCCATTGTAACCGAACAGATCGCGGAATTTAAGATCTTCTCAAAAATTCTATCCCAGTCGCAAATTCGAAATGTCTTTAGTTTGATCCGCTGAAGAGAAGGTTCCTTCGGGAGAATTTTTGAGTCCCTCTCAAAAAATTTTGTCCCTGTTCTACTGTAAAGGGGAATAGAAATCTTACGAGAGATATGATCGAGCCCTTGTGGCGCCTACGTATCCCGTTGAGGCAGGAATCAGGTCAAACGTAGTTCCCCTTAAAGGTTAACAAGAATAGATTTACAAAGAAACCGACCGAGGCCGACAAAGGCCGCCTACGTATCTCATTCTTGAGAATTCAGGTCGAACGTAGTTCAGGTACAGAGAAATAATAAAGGGGGGTAAATGGGGTGACCAAAGCCGACATAGGCCGCCTACGTATCTCCTTCTCGAGAATTCAGGTCAGACGTAGTTCGTTACAGGAGGGATAAGAGTTCAAATTCGAACAAATACAAGCAAACAGAAGATTACAAGTAAATGATGGAAAATGCAAAACGAACTTCACGCGTAATATCTCTTGACATCATCTGAGTTGCTAGGCTTGGGCCATACAGCGCCATCCATCTCTGACAAGACTAAAGCACCTCCAGATAGTACTTTGCGAACCATGTAAGGACCTTGCCAGTTTGGTGCGAACTTTCCTTTGTACTCGTCTTGATGAGGAAAAATACGCTTAAGAACCAACTGACCAACTTCAAAATTTCTAGCTCTTACTCTTTTGTGAAAAGCGCGAGTCATTCTTTGTCTATACAACTGGCCATGGCAAACAGCAACAATCCTCTTCTCATCAATCAAAGCTAGTTGATCAATCCGTTTGCTAACCCACTCAGCATTACTTAGCTCAGCTTCTTGGATGATCCTCAGTGACGGTATCTCGACTTCAATAGGTACGACTGCTTCTGTTCCGTATACTAGCAAGTATGGAGTAGCCCCAGTTGATGTTCTAGCCGTCGTTCGATAACCCAGTAGAGCATATGGCAACATTTCATGCCAACCCTGCTGCTTTTCAATCATTTTCCTCAGAATCTTCTTGATGTTCTTGTTGGCGGCCTCTACATCTCCGTTCATTTGAGGGCGATAAGCAGTTGACCTTCGGTGAGTAATCTTAAATTGTTCACATATCTCTTTCATCAGATGACTGTTGAGATTTGCACCATTATAAGTGATGATGGATTCTGTAACTCGAAATCGGCATATCAGATTTTTGCGGACAAAGTCGGCCACCACTTTCTTGGTTATCAATTTGTAAGAAGCTGCCTCCACCCACTTGGTGAAATAATCGATGGCAACCAAAATGAATTTGTGTCCATTAGAAGCGGCCGACTCTATAGGACCGATGACATCCATTCCCCAAGCTACAAATGGCCAAGGTGAACTCATAGCATTGAGTTCGTGAGGTGGCACCCTTATCAGATCACCGTGCACTTGACATTTGTGGAATTTTTGCACGAATTTGCAACAGTCATGCTCCATAGTCATCCAGAAATAACCGGCTCGAAGGACTTTTCTTGCCAAGGTAAGCCCGTTCATATGTGTACCACAAACTCCAGCATGTATCTGTTCAATAAGCCTCACGGCTTCAACAGCATCCACGCATCTCAAAAGACTCAAATCTGGAGTCCTCCTGTAAAGGACTTCTCCATTCAAAAAGAAATTGAGAGCCATACGACGTATCGACTTCTTTTGATTAGATGTGGCATCTTCTGGATATGTCCCAGACTCCAAGTACCTCTTTATGTCGAAATACCAAGGCAAACCATCTGGTTTTGATTCAACATGTGAACAATGGACTGGATGTTCCTTCAAGTCTATATCCAACGGGTCGATGTAATCAGTATCTGGATGTTTGATCATTGAAGCGATGGTGGCAAGAGCATCAGCTAATTCATTCTGTATTCTGGGAGTATGCCTGAACTCGATCTTGCGAAACCTTTTACACAGATTTTGCACATATTGTACGTAAGGTACAATCTTCGGGTTCTTCACAGCCCATTCTCCTTGAACCTGATGAATCAAGAGGTTTGAATCTCCAATAACCAGTCACTCGTAAACATTCATGTCAACGGCCATTTTCAAACCGAGAATGCAAGCTTCATACTCAGCCATGTTGTTTGTGCAGTTGAATCGTAGTTTAGCCGCCATAGGATAGTGCTGACCAGATTCTGATACCAGGATTGCTCCAACACCCTTACCCTGGTGATTCACCGCTCCATCGAAGAATAATCTCCAACCTGGATAAACTTCAGAGATATCTTCACCCACAAATGACACTTCTTCATCGTGAAAATACGTCTTGAGAGGTTCATACTCTTCGTCAACGGGATTTTCCGCAAGATGATCAGCCAAAGCTTGTGCCTTTATTGCCTTCTGAGTCACGTACACGATGTCAAACTCACTCAACAGCATTTTCCATTTAGCTAACTTCCCGGTCGGCATTGCTTTCTGGAAAATATACTTCAATGGATCCATCCTGCAGATAAGATATGTAGTATACGACGACCGATAGTGTCTCAGCTTCTGGGCAAGCCACGTCAGAGCACAGCATGTTCTCTCCAGCAAAGTGTAGCAAGACTCGTACGGAGTAAACCTTTTCCTTATGTAGTAGATAGCCCTCTCCTTCTTTCCTGTCTCGTCGTGTTGACTAAGTATACATCCAAAGGCGTTATTTGAGACAGACAAATATAGCAACAAAGGACTCCCTTCTCGCGGAGGAACCAATACTGGTGGGTTAGACAAGTAGCTCTTGATAGCGTCGAAAGCGGTCTGGCACTCCTCAGTCCACTTAGTAGGGGCATCTTTCTTCAGCAACTTGAAGATAGGCTCACATACCACCGTCGATTGTGCTATAAACCGGCTGATATAGTTTAACCTCCCTAAAAACTCATCACCTCTTTTCTCATCTTCAACGGAGGTAACTCCTGAATTGCTTTGATCTTGGAAGGGTCGAGCTCAATACCTCTTCTGCTGACTATAAACCCCAACAATTTCCCAGCTAGGACTCCAAAAGCACATTTGGCGGGGTTTAGCTTCAAGTTGTATCGACGCAAACGTTCAAAGAATTTTTTCAGGTGTGTCAAATGATCCGAACTCTCGCGGGATTTGATTATGACATCGTCCACGTACACCTCAATTTCCTTGTGAATCATGTCGTGGAAGATAGTCGTCATGGCTCTCATGTAAGTGGCACCGACATTTTTGAGCCCAAACGGCATCACCCTGTAGTGATATACCCCCCAAGGTGTGATGAAGGCCGTTTTCTCCGCGTCTTCTTCATCCATCAGAATCTGGTGATAACCCGCGTAACAATCCACAAATGACTGCATCTCATGTTTGGCACAATTGTCAATCAGAATATGGATATTTGGCAACGGGAAATTATCCTTTGGACTAGCCTTGTTGAGATCTCTGTAATCAACGCAAATCTTGATTTTTCCATCTTTCTTGGCGACTGGAATGACATTCGCCAACCAGGTGGGATATTGCGTTACTTCTACCAACCGGGACTCTATCTGCTTGGTGATTTCCCCCTTAATCTTCAAACTCAATTCAGGCTTGAATTTCCGAGTCTTTTGCTTCACTGGCTCGAACCCTGGGTTGATAGGCAGCTTATGAGATACGACATTGGTACTCAGCCCCTGCATGTCACTGACCTCCCAAACAAACACATCGCTGTATTCGGCAACCAAATGCACCAGGCTCTCCTTCTGAGTTTCATTCAGGTGAGTGCTGATCTTAACCTCTTTGACACATTCTGAATCTCCCAAATTCACCGTCTCTGTTTCCTCTAGATTCGGTTTATGTTGATTCTCGAACTGTCAAAATTCTTCTACCACATAGTCTGGTTCCCCACTTTCTTCGTCGTAGTCGTCAGCCTCGTCGTCATTTGCCTCATTTTGCTCGTTTAGCTCATGACATGACATTGGCAGGTTTGTAACTTACGTTACTGAAATCATAAACAGACAAAATTAGAAAAGTAAAATATAACAAGCAATCGAATAAACAAAGTCAAAATAAGGAGGCTTTAATTTAAATTGAATTAAAAATGCAAATTTGGGTCATGGAACAAGGCCGTGTCGCCCTTTAAACAATCATAACAAAATTCAAAATCAAGAAAATGCAGAAATGGTGGGTCTCGGGCCTCTTCCGAACGACCACCGATTTTGGCATGCACAAAATAACTCCATTCTACCACAGAGTTCGGGGCATCAGGATCGGCGTGGACGTCCAATTTTGCAGCATCTCCCCTGGTTCAGCATCACGAATGCCTGCTGGCTCAGCCTCCTCCTTGATGACGGCGTTGATCTCCTTGAACAGGTCACAGATTCCTTCCCCATCGTCTGCAAGCTCGGCACGCTCCTGGACTGGAAAGGAGTGATGGAGATGTGGGATCGGCTTAGTCAGCCCTTGATCCTTTCTCCTCTTCATCTTCAAATCATCATTTGTGGGGATGTACCCCAAACCATACTTTGATCCTGTAGCAAGGACCGGAATTGGCTCGATGATCCCTTGTGCATTCCTTCCTAATCCGAAACCTGGTTCGAATCCGCTCTGCAGCATCACCGTGGCGATCATTCTGTACACGGACGGCATGGGAGTCTGTGAGGCCAAGCCCTCATCAGTGGCATTTACCAACTCCACCGTGTAAAAATCTGAGCTTTGTGGCGTCTCGTCCAAGACCGGCATCTGCTTGCCTGAGTGGCCCTTTTCACCCTGAATGACATGTTCTTCATTCTTCCTCACCAGTTTCATCATTTGGTGGAGAGTGGAGGGGAAGGCTCCAGCCGTGTGAATGAATGGCCTGCCCAAAAGAAGGTTGTAGCTGGTGTCGATATCCAACACCTGGAACTTTGCCTCGAACTCTGTGAGGCCCATTTGGATGGTCAAATTCACCGCTCCTAACGTCTCTCTCTGCACACCATCGAATGCTCTCACATTGACCTGGTTTTTCTCCAACTTTCTGAGGTTAAACCTCAGCTGCTTCAGCGTAGACAAGGGGCATATGTTTAGGCCAGATCCGTCGTCTACCAAAACACGGTTGACGATCTTTCTGCGGCATACCACGGTGATGTGTAGAGCTTTGTTGTGGGCTATCCCTTCGGACGGCAACTCATCATCGCAGAAGCTGATGCGGTGTCCTTGAATGACTCGGTGAATCATAGCAGCTACATTGTCGCTGCTTGTGCCTGAGGGCACGTATGTATCATCAAGAGCTTTCATTAAGGCCTGCCTGTGGGACTGAGAGCTCATCAGCAGGGCCCACATAGATATCTGAGCCGGAGTCTTCTCTAAATGTTTGACGATGGAATATTCCTTCTGTCCTCCGAGAGCAAGCTCATCAGGAGTGTAGCACCTTCCGGACCTAGTCACGCCTTGAGCCACGGCCGTTTCTATCACAAACTTGGGTTTGGGGAGAGTCTTTGAGGGCACCAAGGCAACAACCTTTGCAGGTGTCAGAATAACAAACTCCCTCCTTTCCTTGACGCTTAAAGAAGCGACAGCCCTTTCCAAGTCTTCCTGAACAACAGGAGTAATTCTCTTGGCTTCACACTCGTCTTCGTCGGTTTCTATCATGTTGATATTTCCACCCCCATGATTTGGCAACGGATTCGTGTTGACGCTTGGCGCCGCCGGTTGAAGAGAAACTACCTCCTGATCGATCAGGTCTTGGATTTTGTGCTTAAGGTTGATGCAATCTTCTGTGTCATGTCCAACACTGTTGGAATGATAAGCACACCTTTGATCTGGCCTGTAGAACTTTGAGTTGACATCCACGGGTTTGGGCCCCACAGGGTGGATGTATCCATCTGCGACTAGCCTCTCAAATAGTTTGGTCCGGCTTTCAGCAAGTGCGGTAAATTTCCTTGAAGGCCTTTTTTCAAATCTCGGACGGGGAGGATCATAACCGCTTTGCTGAGGGGGAGGGACTTGTTGGTAATTGCGGGCATTTGGTCGTGGAGCTTGGGCTCTGGGATGGGGATTTATTTGGTAGTTTGGCATTGGGGATTGGTAATTTGGATGGGGGTTTTGATATGCTGGGATTTGTATTTGATATGCGGGGAACGGCGCTTGATAGCTTGGCTGTACATTAGCGCAGCTGGGAGCGACATTCTGGTAGTGGGGAGGGACTTGATAGGTTTGGGGGTAGTTTGGAAAATTTTGGGGAATCGGGGGTGGATCCTGATACGACACAATATGGGCTTCTGGATAAGTGGGGCCGGCATTGTAGTGGCTGGAATGATTTGAGTTTGGACGGTAGGCTTGATGAGGCTTTGATGGAGGGTAGGAGCGGCCTTGGGGACGTGGTGAGTTTCTGGGGGCCTTTCTTCCCCCGTGTGAGATAGCGTTAACCTCCTCTCTTTTCTTCCTTATCATTCCGGAAGACCCAGGCGATGCAGACACTCGGGCTATTTTTCCCGACTTCAGGCCATCTTCGATAGTCTCACCTACTTTGACTATCTCGGTGAACTTGGCGCCGATTAATAAGATGACTCTGTCATAATAATCGGGCTCCTGCACCCGCACGAACACCTCTACAATCTCTTTCTCTGTCATCGGAGGCCTCACCCTCGCTGCCTCTTTCCTCCACCTGTACGCGAACTCTTGATAGCTTTCTGTGGGCTTCTGCTTCATCTTCTCCAAGGAGTACCGATCAGGGACTATCTCGACGTTGTATGCAAATCTGTCGATGAAATCCTTAGCCAGTGCGCTCCAACTGGGCCACTGTCGAGTTTCATGTGACGTGAACCACTCCAGGGCCTCACCACATAGGCTTCGGCTGAATAACCTCATCAGCAAGGCTTCATCTTTACCAACTCCCACGAGTTGGTCACAGTATGCTCTCAGGTGTGCCATGGGGTTGCCCACCCCGCAGAAGGTATCAAACTTCGGGATCTTGAACCCTTCAGGCAGGTTCAAGTCTGGATGGATGCATAGTTCTGTGTAGCTTAACCCGGCGACGTCTGGAGTACATTGCAATTCCCTCATTGCCCTCCTGATCTCCTCCTTTATGTCTACCTTTGCTTCTTCCCTCGACCTCCACTCTCTTTCTTGCTCCTCATAGTGGTCCAACTCGGAGCCGTGCACCTCATGCTCGACTGGGACAGCGACTTGAAAAGTGGTTCTTTTGGGGAGGGGTGGAGCTATGGAAGGGCTTGGGACGTTCTGTGCGGTTTGATAATTTTGCAGAAAATTTTGGGGATTGGTATTTTGGTTAAAGTGGGGATACGGTGTTTGAGAATTGAAGGCGGTGGGATTTTGGGTTTGATTTTGGGGTAATGGGGCTGTTGGAATGCTTTGGGGTGCGGTGGTATTTGTGGAGGATTGTCTGGGAGTGGTGAGGGGATTTGATAGGAGACTGACGCGTATTGGGGGGTTTTGGGCTGTCGCATCTATTCTGGAGGGGTTGTGCACGGGTGTCGATGGACGGTGCTGAGTAGGATCCGAGTTGGACGAAGGAAAGTATGTAGGAGGTCTCATGTCGAGAAAGTTGGGGCCGAACTCGGGAGGAGGAGTGTCTTGCCTCCGTTGCATCTCTACCTTCATGTCAGCTATTTGCTGCATTAGCTGCGCAATAAGCTCATTCTGCTCTGCTGCGGTGGGCTGAGCCACCACGACGTCTGTGAGGCTGACTTGTTCATTGTTGTCGCCCATGTCTGTATTTGCGCTTGGAACAGGGAAGGAATCTGCGGGACCTTTTGATCTGGTAAAGTAGTGGTGATCTGCCAGCTTTATCGACATAGATCAGTAAGAGGTACCAGAGAGTTAAAAACAACTCAAAGGCAAATTTGTTAGCGCATATTTGAGTACAAAACACATAATATCGCACAGCAAACAGATTAAACACACAAGTCGCTTTGTTTGGGGATATCTTGACCCACTACTAAGGACGGATATATATTTTGAACAAACAGGAATTTGTTTGTTTGGCGCTATCTTGGGAAATCTGAATCACGTTGAGCTATGGTCTTCTTGCAGCTGCTTTGTGACGTCCGTTGATCTGATCTTCGTATCTCCGAAACATGGAGGAGAATGAAAATTTTCTGTGATAGGGGCCGGGCCGAGGAAGGCTGCCTACGTATCTCGCGAGGAGAATTCAGGCCCAACGTAGTTCGAATCCTTTCCTTCATTCTTTCATTGTGATTACAAGGGAATTGAAAAACAGCATTGAAATTTCTAGAAGGCAACATTTGGCGATTTCTTGTCTTGTGGTTGCGTCATTCCTTTCCTTTCAGACAGTCAGAAATGGAGGCTTGTAGACGATTTCTTCTTCATCATCCTCCTCAATCACTTCACGGCCGGGGCCACTGTTGCCTGTTCCCTGATCACGGGCGAGGTATTTTCCGCCCTTTGAGTTGCTGCAGGTCGTCAATTTTTCATCGAGTGTCGCACTTCTGGCCAACAACATGGCAGTCTCAACATCTACCTTTGCTTCTATCGCCTTTCCTTCGTGTATCTCCAAACTAAGCAAGTTCAACCTTTTCCTTAGGCTTTCAGTTTCCATCTCGACCTCCTTCTTTCTTTTTATCTGCGACGCCAGATCTTCATCCAAGGTCGTGACCGCAGCTTTGTAGATCGCTGTGGTCATGTCTACTTTGAGCCCTTCCTTCTTAACCTTCTGAATCTCTCGAGTGACTCGCTCGATCTTTCTTCGCAATTCCTCCTCAGTGAGCTCCGTCTGGACGTTCTTGCCTTTGTCCATAGCGGTGATTCAACTTTCCTGAGATGATAGAGCGGTATTTAGGATTTATGGTATGGATTTTTGTGTGAGAAACTTGAGACTCGGGAATTTTGGTCGGACATTTGTAATGTTGGCTTCTGTATACTCTTTAGGATTTTGGCTAGGAGTGGGTTTACGATATCCTTAATCAAAGCAACATAACACATAAACATTTCAACAAATATATCGTGTCCTAAACATGCATGTGACCCTTTTGTGCCAAGGGTAGGCCTAGCGATCTGAAGGATGTATTGCACCATTTAACAAGTAATTGTACCCCCGAAACAAATTTCACTAGATATCACAGCATTCATTGCATGATTAAAATCAAACGGGATACATCTTAGGAAAGGGATGTAGTACAAGTACATATATAAAATCAATCCCACGCAGGGGAGTTAAGGGTCGACGATCCAGCTCCTCTTCTGGATTTCTCCACTTCTTCTCGAATAATGCACTTGCTGGTGAACACGTATGGCTCAGCGAATGCAGCTTTGGAAGATGCTGGTACGGCTCGTAAGGTGTTCATCTGCTCATCCAAAATAGTGTCCAAACGCATTAGACAAGTCCTTGTGTCAGCTAATTCTTGTGACATTATGGCCAAAACTCTCTGATTTTCTAATTCCCGGAGTTGGTACGCTTGTTCCTTTTGTTGAAATTCCTGTTCTTTCTTATGGAATTCCTGCTCCCTTCGGTCCCACTCTTGCTGAAAATGGTACGCGTGAATCTGAAGCCTTGTCTCCACGTCTTCAATTTTCCGACCTGTGCGTGGTGTTGGATCCACTATACCATGCAAATAATTATGCAACCATGTCTTGTATTCGTCAATATACCCAGCTCCATACCTGTCTTCGGTAACCTCCCACTTCATGTTGACACGTCCGGCCCATTCCTGGAGGATAATTTTAGCGAAAGGTATTTTGTCCTTCTCGTTGTAATCGACAATGAAAGAGCTGGCATCTCCTTGGGCGGGTATGATTTGGACTTTCCCAAATTGCCGCATTACTCGCGTCGGGTTGTAAGGGCGCAATCCTCTGATGCCGGGAAGGACTAAAAATGGCAATTTGTCCCCTTGGGCTGCTATCATCTGAGACCTGAAGCTCGGTAATACCCATTGTATGTCTCCTTCTTTCAAATTGTAAAACACCTTTGCCCAGGCATCCCTGGTGGTGTGAATTCGAAATTTACGGATACTCAAGTAGAACTAGTAATTATCGAGAGGACTTGTTTGACTTGGTTCGGCCAACTCCTGTGGCTGGGGGTTGTCTCTTTTGCATAGATGTTCCGTCAACCACCATTGGAGTAAGATGTTGCAACCTTGGAAAAACGGGAAACCATTCTTGCACAGACTCAAAGATCGATAAATGTCGGACAAGATGACCGGGGCCAAACAGAAATATTTCTTTTCTTCAGATTTTCTACCGACTCCTCTGAACATGGCATTCACTACCATTATTACCCGGGTGTCGATCTCTTTACCTTCGTCTTTAGGGAACACCATAGTTCCCAAGAGGCATGCGGAGAAAGCGATAACTTGAGTTTGCCTCCAAGTACTGTAATCATGGAATTCGTCCGGGAATAGTCTGAAATAATTGTCGTGCCCCCACCTCTCGAAAAACCTCATTAGTGGAATGTCGTTGGTCTCTAACCAATCTGCATTCACTAGGAATAACATGTCTCTCAATTCGTTCTTGGTTGGCCTATCTGGTAAGAGAATGTGATGATCGGGACGCTTTTTCCTTTTGCCACACGTCCCAATTGAGTTAAGGCAATCTTTGATCTCTTCTAGTGTGGGCGTTATTTCAACATCTCCAAATCGAAAGACCATTTTATCATCGTCCCAAAATCGGGTGATGACCTCGATAAACGTGGGCCGTACCTTGAAGTCCATTATCGAAGGTAGGTGACCCAAGTAAATCGAGATTTCTCTCTTCTGACACTCCTTAAGGTTGCCCCACCATACTCGAAGAATGTCGGGCGCCTGGGTGACCATTTTGAAGTGGAGGAATTGATTTGACATCAACAAAAATATACAACTAGTTAATTTTCAATCCCCCCGATACAACAACTAGTTAAACACGCAATACATCCTTCAAATTTAAACAACAAACATGAGCATCCTATCGAGCCGTAGGCTCTTTGGACTCAAGGTGGACTTTTCTAATGGGCCCGACACTCCTTGGGTGTCGGGTCATCTTAGGCCAATGCGCTATTTTCGGGATTCGGTTTCGCTCTATCCTAGTTTGACTAAGAGTGGGTTGTATTTAAAGCGGAATGGGTAACCCAAGCGGAGGCTGGGACAATTAACGATCATTGACTATCAAGTAATCAACTACACTCGTCAGGGTGCCCCGAGAAGATTTTTGGTTAACGAACGACTGCGAACCCGCATAATCGTCCTTTAGTGGAAATGTAAAAAGTGTCGTTTGACGGAAGTATGTATGTTATGCATGCAACAGTCTAAAATCTGAATAATTCAAACACTTAAACAATAAATCACAAATAATCAACTATGTTAATCTTAAGGTTAGAATCCTCCAAGTCCCCAGCAAAGTCGTCATTTCTGTTTTATCGAAAAATTATCGATTTCGAAAAGAGTTGTTTTATTTAAAGTTATTTTCGACTTTAAAGAGTCGCCACTTAATTTTTAAGGAAAAATTAAGAAAACTTGTTTCTAAACAGCTTAAATAGAAAAATTATTTTGAAACATTTTTAAGGGATTCGGGATTCCTATTAGCGTCTTAGGAAGGTTTCGAAAAAGCATCTAAGACGCTCCGCTAACTTACGGTTTTCCGGCGATTAACTTATTTGACTATTTTATTACTTTGCGATTTTGAAGTTGACCTTTATTAAAATTTACTTAGCCAAACTTTACAATTTTGAAGTATTTGTTGTTTATCTTGTAAGTTTACGAAACCATTTCGAAGTTAAGCTTACTTAAGGTTTTATCTAAACAAGCCTTATGAATTTGAAACAATTTATCATTTAGAAGTTAGTTTTAAGTTTTTTAGGTTTGATAAAATAGAAGGCGTTCGATGGAGTTTGGATTCATCTAATCCTAAGCTAACGACATTTAAAGCAAGATGTAAAGAAATAGCAAAGAGAGATAGAGAGAGAGAGGGAAAGAGAGATTCGGGTCCAAACTCGGGTTCTGTTCGCCTTGACCGAGTTTTGGACACACCTGTTTTTTTTGGGTTTTGACCCATTTCTTTTTCGTACCTGTCCTAGTCTAGACATGTAAAAAATATACAAAGAAAGTGAAACAATAAGGGCTTATACCCATTACAAACAAAATACAACACAATACTAAAATCTTCTAATTCGCCTTTGGATTCTTCTACTATCTTTCCGAAATTGGCCTCATACGTTTGCCTTGACTCGATAGAGGATTGAGCCTTTACGGCTCTTCCGGAATACAAGGAGGAAAGGGAATCCCAAACGGACTCGAAGGAGTTTTCACATGCCACAAAAACAAGTGAAATGAGAATTGGCACCTTAACCAAATAACTAAAATAAATACAAAAGAAACATTTTTCATGCAATTAATCATTCAAAACGAACGTAAATTAAGCACACAATTGCAAAGAAGGAATGCAAGACAAACCGATACACAATATCAACATACAAAACTCCCAAAGAAAAATACTTGTTCGATCGAAACGGTATGTGGCAATCCAACACCAAATTTGAATTTTAGCGGAAAACGAGAAGATGAGTGGCACTTGTCATATTTTCCCCTATCTGACCCATGAGTAGCACCAGATTGGATCTATACTATATACTATAGCTTCCATGAAATAAACTTGCATACATAAGATAAATAATAATAACAAATTTTATTTGAGTCACTCACAGGCAAATGGAGGCAACTCTTTATCGAAACTTTGACAAAAGGAAACATATAAAGTAACTTAGTAAAATCCTTTGAATTCATGGAATGACCAAGTTTCGAAATGAAGAAAACAAAGATAGATTAAGGAAGACAAGACGCGACTACACCCTGAGACTCCTTCAATCAACT